ATTTATAGAAAAAAATTGCAATTTTAATTTTAGCCCTTATTTTTATTTTTGGCATGTAAACATTGAAGTCGGCTTATGAAACATTAAAAAATATTTTAATAGGACTTCAAATAGTATAATTAATGTATCTAGATGCTTCTTATTGGAAAAATGATTGCTAGTTGGAAGATTTAAGGTTAATGTACTACCTAGCAAGCATACCACAAATCTTGGATATGATTTATTTTTAAGTCAGCATTTGGCAAAGTTGAAATGAAGGCTGTTTTACCTTGTACAAAGGATTCTTGATTAGTTAAAAGGTTAGACTTGGCGAATGCTAAGATTCCTACTAACCATGTGATATGATTGCTCCCCACATAATTTAGACTGGAATTGTTAATACTCAGTTTAACTTCTGCTTTCTTTCTAAATTCTGTGCTAGGATATTCTGCTTTCTTTCTAAACTCTGTGTTTTACTGTTGTGCTTAAACCCCGTGAACTCCTGGATTATGTTTAATTCATCCTTTTAACCCTAGTAGAGCATTCAGTAGACAGGTGCTTAGAAATGTTGGTCTTGTTGGTCCCTTTACACACAAACACACACACACACACACACACACACACATGATGAGACTCTGGTGCCAGTTACTGGTGAATTGTTTTTTTATCTTACCATATTTCCCCATGTATAAGACGCACCCAGTTTTTATACCCCAAATTTTTCCAAAAAGGGTGCGTCGTATACATGGGGAAATGCGGTCATCACTGGACACTTGACTCTGACAAACCATCAAGTTTCAACCTTTCTACTGCATATGTTTCTGTACTTGTCATGTCTTGTGATTCCCTTTTGGGTGTTCATCCCCAAGTATTTGATGTTATTCAACAATCTTTGATTCTATAGTCTCAAAGAAGTTTTCTAACATATCATTAGAACTGCTACAACTGCACATTTTAGCCAGATAAACAGCTTTGTCCTTTCCCAGCCCTTCTCTGATTGTATAGTCATTAGAGCCAATTGTTAAGGTATCTTAACTTTATCCTTATCTTATCAAAGTATCTGCCCCCATATAGTCACCAAATGAAATACTTTCATTAAGAACATTCTGTACATATCCATATGAATGCAATAAAAAAGAATAAAACTATGGAATGAAGAAAATGTTTGGTGCATTTACTCTTCTAATCTAAAAATTATGAGGTCATGCCTTATTCACTGCTGAATAATGAGTGGAGGCAAAGGAATAATTCCAAGCACATTTATGCTTGCATGTGAAGTACTTAATTATAGGAACACTAAAAGGCAGAACTAAATCATCCCATAGGTAGCATTTTTAAGGCTATTCTGTTTAAACAACCTCAGCCATTTGATAAGTAAATAGTAAATACAGGATCTTACAGAAGAAGGAAAGGAAAGATGCATATGAAGGTCTGACAATTAAGTTTGCGAACTTGTTGCAACAATGTTGCTAACCTTTTTTGATATCAGAGGGATTATTCATTATGAATTTGTACTAACTGGACAAACAGTTACCAAGTTTACTATTTGGAAGTGCTGAAAAGGCTGTGTGAAAAAAATGACATAAACTTTTCATCAATAATTCATGGCTCTTGCATCACGACAATGCACCAGCTCACAAGGCCTGTCTATGAGGAAGTTTTTAGCCAGTAAACAAATAACTGTATTGGAACACCCTCCTTACTCACCTGATCTGGCCCCCATTGACGTCTTTCTTTACCAGAAGAGAAAGAAAATATTAAAAGGAAGACATTTTGATGACATTCAGGACGTCAAGGGTAATACAATGATAGCTCTGATGGCCATTCCAGAAAGAGTTCCAAAATTGCTTTGAAGGGTGGATTAGGCCCTGGCATCAGTGCATAGCTTCCTAGGTGGAATACTTCAAAGGAGACCATAGTGATATTCAGCAATGAGGTGTGTAGCACTTTTTCTGGGATGTGTTTGTGAACTTAATTGTCAGTAACATTTGTTGAACTTAAATTACATGCCAAACACCATGCTAGTCCCATCCCTGCATCTTAAAATTAGATATTACAATTAATGATCCTCAGACACATATGACAGTTATACTAGGGAGATTACAGACTACCAGTGGTTGGTTCAGCTTTCTCCCAGCTTACTATTGTAGTAACTTTCTTTTGGAACAGAGACTTCTGGGTTTGAATCAGTCCCTTGGGTTGCAGGATATTGAATCTTCAGTTCCCACTCATGGTTCAGTGATCACTTGCCTGACTTTGCCCGTAGCCCCACATGAGAGACTCTCTCCTCCAAATCCAATTCTATGAAACCTGATGAGCAGCCTTCACTCTGTTTGGTCCATGTATGGTTGGGATGGGATAGATTATATTTTGGTAACAACTTCCAAAATCTCGGTGGCTTATCTCAACAAGAATTGTTTTCTCTTGCATAATACAGGTCCAACAGGAGCTGGTCACCAGGCTTATAACCATTCAGGACCAAGCAAGATACCAAAGTTCTACCTCTATAGAAACCTCCGTGAACACCATAGCAGAGGAAGAGAGTAATGCAGGGCCTTACTCTGGTAATTAAATGCACTCATTTAGCAGGGTATCTTTTTTTTTTTTTAGTCAACCCATCCTGCCACCTATTGGCACCTCAGCGGCAGATCAGCTCGGGCTGGGAATTGAACCGGCAACACTGTTGCTCAGAGCTCACACTCTTGAACGAGCTCTTAACCAACTGAGCCACTTGGCCGGCCCTAAATGCACCCATTTAAAACTATGCACATTGCTTCTGCAAACATCTCAATAGACAAGCCTGTCAATGATTATTGACAGAGAGTGAGGAAGTGTATTCTTGCCATAACCCATAATAAGCAGAAAAAACTGAATGTCATGGACAGCACTACCAACTACCAGACCCTACCATCCTCACAATCACTAAAACCACCAGGACTCTACACCCATACACACACACACACACACACACACACACACACACACCCATCCCCTTTCTGCTTCTCCTTTTTCTCTCAACTAGGGGATAAGGGATCAGATGTATGTTATACATAATTGGCTCACTTCTCACAATAGACAATGAGGCAAGTGTTAATGATCTGCACTTCTCAAATGAGAGAACCGAGGCTTAGAAATCCAGGACCTTCCACATAAAAATCACATTTTATTGGCCTCAACATTCAAACCCAGATCATTTTGGCTTAAAACCCTCAGTAAGTATCTAATTTCTGCAAGAAAAAATTCAAACTCTTCAATATATTGTGCATGGTACTCCAAGGTTGGCTCCTTTTTCACGCTCTAGAGTCATTCCTTACTACCCTTAGCTCTTACACTCTACTATACAGCCATAAAAAACCTCTTATGATTTTTTTGGCCTCTTTTTTGTTATATCTTTACTCGTGTGGCAATTCCATTTTGTACCACTCATTTCTCCTGTCTTCCTGAAAAACATTAATCTACTTTTAAAACACAATTTACAGGTTCTGGTCAAGATGGCAGAGTAGGTAAATGCTGTGCTTACCCTTTCTCATGATCACATCAAAATTATAACTAAGCTACAAAACAACCATTGAGAATACTTGAGAATTACCTGAAGTCTAACTGAACCAAAGCTCTACAACTAAGAACATCACTGAAGAAGCCACCTTGAGACTGGTAGGAAGGGCGGAGATGCAAAATGGATTGGGCCCACACGCGCATGTGACCATTAAAATTCAGGAGGGATGGGGCCGGCCAAGTGGCTCAGTTGGTTAAGAGCTTGCTCAAGAATGCGAGCTCTGAGCAACAGCAGTTCGAGTCCCAGCCCGAGCTGAGCTGCCAACAGGTGGCAGGATGGCTCAGCTAAAAAAAAAAAAGAAATTCAGGAGGGATATCTCAACTGTGGAGGTTCCCACCACCCCGGAAAGGAGCAAATTGTTCCAGCGACACACTAGGCTCTCCAGTCCAGGGAGAAAAGTCCCTATAATTTCTGGTTGTAAAAACCAACAGAGACTGTGGCTGAGTGAGGCCAATGGTGGCTGGAGTTCCAGATGATCCTTTTAAAGGGACCACACACAGAACTACTCACCAACGGAATCACTGGTGCTGAGCTCCAACTCTAGGGCAGCTGGAGAGATGACAGAGACACACGGATGGGATCTGAGTTGTCTGGCTTCAGGATGAAGGAACTTCAACAAAGAGATAGGAAACATAAAAATGAGACAGAAAACATAAAAGAGAATGTTTTAGAAATAAAGAATACAATAACCAAAATGAAGAATACCTTAAGGCAGGGGTGTTAAACTGGCGGCCCGCGGCCACATGCAGCCCTCGAGGTAATTTTTTGTGGCCCACGATGCTCTGAAATAAAATGAAAATAGAAAAAAATTGTTATGAAGAAAATAGCACTTAGGGGAGATTGAGTCAATACCATACACACAATTCCCTCGTTAACACTTTAACTACTGAAGACGAGTATACAAAAAATTACCTCGAGGGCCGCATGCAGCCCGCAGACCGCCAGTTGGACACCCCTGCATTAGGGGGAATCAATTGTAGATTAGAAGAAGCAGAGGACTGAATCAGCAATTTAGAAGATAAGGCAGCAGAAAACACCCAATCAGAAAAGCAAAAAGTTATGCATTTTCAATAACTAGGTTTTACCATTTTGGTTTACTAATAGAGACCAAATTTTATGCTCTGAACGATTAATTTTTAAAAAGGTGGAACTTTATTTAGCACTACCATAACATTGCACAAGATAGAATAAAGCTTTCTTGAAATAAATAATTGGGTGATGAATAAATTATTAAAATAATTTAGGAGTGAAATTAATTCAATTTAAATATTTGTCCATAATTTATTTTTAATTATAATTGATATATAGTACTATACTAGTTTCAGGTATGCAACATAGTGATTCAACATTTATATACCTGTCAAATTGATCATCACAATAAGTCTAGGAATCATGTGTCTAAGATGGCCGAAAGTAATCATCACTTTAAATAGTAAACATGTCACTAATATGAGGTTAAGAAAAATTTAAAATAATAATTTTGACACACATTGTTCAATGTTAGGAAAATGACAGTGAGTATTATGGACATGGCCATTGTCTACTTAACATTATATTTTTCTATTATTCAGGACCCAGTGATATATACAAGAAATGAAATTGCCCTATCTCTTTAAGTCAGTAAACATAATCTATAAAATTCATATTTATTTAAATTATTAATGGCCATGTAATAACAATATTAATACTAAGGTTTAAAGGTATGCCCCTTCTGAAATTTCCGTTTTATTACGTCACTCTCTCGTCAAATATAGTGATGGTTCTCGATGTTCTTGTGTCACTGGCATACTCTGGATAATAGTGTCAGGCATCTGCTCTTCTTAACTATGAGAGACTGGTTCTGATGAAAGGATTCCTCTTATCTGTGAGAGAATGGAACAAATTAAGATAACAAAAAATTGTTAATTTATTTTTTGCTTTAAAAAAATATTTTAAGAGCAACTGCCCCCCAATTATCACCCCATAAATCATGTTCTTTTTAATTAAGTAGGAAAAAATATTATGACTATAGGTAAATTTTAAGGTCACAGAATAAGGAAAAATACCCTGCAAATCGCCTTTTCATTTTACTTACCCCTTAAGTTCAAGTAGTTGTTGAAATCAAGTTCAACATGTATTGCTCATAAATTTATCTTTTAAAAATCCTGACATTACTGAAGCATTTCCCCATGGTAATTTGGATTTCCACTCATTATATCTCTATGATTAAAGTCCCTCCAGTGAAATTTGCAATGAGGATCTGGAGAGAGACTAATTCATTTTATTATGAACTAAATATTTTATGAGCCACTCATAACTAAATTGAACTGAACCTTATTGAATTTTTATGTGTAATCAAACAAACTGGACTTTAACAAATGATCAAAACTCCTTGCTAAAGAATCTGAAGCAATAAAAACTAAATAATAAATTGATAATACATTTAGCATCAAATTGAAAATCCCCATTTGGTGTCCAATTTTCCTAATAAAATATTGTTATTAAAATTGTAATTTCCATGTGTACTACAATATTTACAATCCACAAGGTGATTCTTGCCTAAGGGGCAAAGAATTTACAAAACTGTTGCAAAAAATCCATTCATGTATGCATGCTTTGCAAATATTCTGGGTACTATGTTTTTATTTCATAAATTACAGATATCGGTAGATTTTGTAAAAGAAATATTTTTTTAAATTTCTTCTCTGTGTAACAAAAGAGTCAGGAAAGTTAAAATATGCCATAACGGAATCCTTCATTTGATGGGGGAAAAGCTAAATGTAATAAACATGGTTTGATTCCTTTGAGGAATTTTCATTGGAATTATAAATTGTTACATGAAGGAAACTTTGGGTTGTATAGCTGTATGCCCTTACATCACGAAAGGAACTATTTTAGGAAAACTTTATCTTCAAATACATTAAAGTGTTTATAGATGCTACTTATAAGAGAATGGCTCAAATATGTTTTTTAAATCAAGATGTACCTAACACTTCAATACCATGAATTAAATCTTAAATGTATGAACAATGTTACATTATAAACTCATTTTCCTGGAAATTGGCAACATTTAAAAATTGCATCCTCCACAACTAGACTGAAGAACAAAAAGGACAGCAACTTGTCTGTTCCCCTTCCCCCAATTCCCCAGCACTGTTCCCATCCCCCCAATTCCCCAATAAGAATCTTTAAAAAAAAAAATTGCAATTCCAATTAAGTGTGAAGCGTTTCTTGGTCCCTAAAATCATGATCTCATGATCTTTTAATTTCCAATAGGACATTGTATTTCTTTTGCATCCCCTTCAGTAGTGTGATATGTACTTAGGTGTGCACCTGTCATATCTGCTCTATTATGCTGTACCTCCTTAAAGATGAGCAGTAGCATTCATCTTTTTCTTATACCTCACAGCATGTGTCAGTGTCTTGCCTACAGTGAATGCTCAATAACTATTTCCGGCATCAAAGACTGAAAGAAAAAGAAAAATGATCAAAATTCAGACTGCTGCCCAGGAGAAAACTGAATGCAACTCCTTGGTAATAATCCTCCACATCGAGACTAGGTTTTGAAACAAAATAGCTTCTTGACTAGGAAGGATCCAAACAGATAGAAAAGTACTGCCACTGACCTTCAAAAGTGCTGTTCCGTTTTGTGTGTGTTTATAGGGGTATCTGATTCCTCTGAGGAGCTTTTCTTTTGCAAAATACAAATAAAGGGAACCACTCACCTCACCCCAGAGTTCTTTGCATGTTGAGACAATGGGTAAGGCAAATTGTGAAAAATGAAGATATCGATATTTTGAAAAAATCCTCTGGATGATTCTAAAGTTCATCACCACTTCCTTCTGTTTAGTGCTAGTGTCCTATATTTTTGGCTTAACTAAAAAAGTCACATGGAGAATTAATTGAATGCAGATTATGTAGATAGAATTCATTTTTCGCAAGGGTCTTTGTGACCTTGGTCAATATTATGTATTTCAGTGTATAATAGTAGAATTATATCACTGACACACACATTGATATATAAGCCTATATTATTGGAGTGGAATGTAGCATTTGTAGTCCTCTAGTGCCAATGCTGTCTTGGCTATAAATTATACAGGGTAATTCCATTGGAGCAATTATAATAAGACTTCACAGGAGAAGCACCAAAATTATCATAACACAAATTATATCAAATTCAAAAAATAAAAATATTTTCATTTAAAAATAAAAATTTTAATAATGCAAAGAAAACTGTATGACTCCAAAGAGCAACATTAAAATAATGGCAATATAAGTTTGATTTTGAATACAAATAAGATTTTCATCTTATTGTCACATTAATATATTTATTTGAAAACTTAACTGCTTTGTTGTTTAAATTCAAAACATTTTTTCAGGTTTTATGGCTGTAAAAACTATGTTCAAGGCACTTACACTAGTCAAGTCAGTCAAATAAATAATTAAGAAAACAGGAGGAAGCACTGTGACAATAGTTAATAATGCTGTATTACATATTTAAAAGTTGCTAAGAGAGTAAATCAAAAGTTTTCATCACAAGAACAAAAATGTTTGCAACTATGTAACATGATTAATGTTACATATTAATCATGTAACTAGACTTATTGTAGTGATCATTTTGCAAGGTACATATACAAATATCAAATTAGTATGTTGTATACCTGAAACTAAGATAATATTATATCTCAATTATACCTCAAAAAAAATATCCACAAGGTTAAAAAAGGGAAAAGACAACCAAAGGAAATTTAAATGTATTGATTAACCGGCACTCTTCGTAGGCTATGATAGTTTTGGTGTTTTTTTTTTAAATATTATGCCTCATGTATTCCTACCAACAACCCTATGAGATAAATATTGTAATCCCACTTTATAATGAGAACACTAAGGCTGATGGAGCTGGTGACCTGATGCACAAGTTCATTTACTTAATAGTGACAGAATCATGATTGAAAATAAAATCTTATTTCTACTACTATTGTCCACCAGGGTTTTGTAGATGGTGACGCATAGGCCAAACCTAGCCTGCCTTCTGTTTTTATATAGCCTATCAGCTAAGGATGATTTTTCATTTTAAATGATTTTTTTTAAAAAAACACAAAAGAAAGATACATTTCCCAACATAAAAATTATATGAAATTTAAATTTCAGGGTCCATAAGTAACATTTTATTATGGAAACATAACCACATCTATCCATTTAAATGTTGTCTATGTTGTGTTCACGCTACAGCATCAGAGCTGAGCAGTTACAATAGAGACTATATGGCCTACAAAGCTGAAAGTATTTTTTATTTGTCCCCTTACAGAAAAGTTAGCAGATCCCAGCTATATATTGTTGCTTCCTCATTAATGCATGTTTGTGCTTGTAGACGTGACCTAAATATAAAGTGGATCCATAGGAAAAATAAAGTGAAGAAAGCAATATTCCAAAGATACTGGTCAGTAATATTTTTAAAGAGCAATAATGCATCAGATACAATAACTCACTCTGCATTTCCTTTCCACACAATTTAGAGTTCATTGGTTTGAAAGCTTCTCCGAAGGCTTGCAGCACTTAATTCATGCATGCATTAAACCTCTCAAGTTTACTTGGCCTGAGTGTTGTGAAAAAGATCTTGGAGGCAATTTATCACATAAGAATCTGTCACTGATTAACTTTTTTTTAGATGTGTCTTGGAGCAGAAAAGTGAAGTCAAAAGTGACAATTCTGACAATACTTGCACCAAAGAGTGGAGAATCTGCCAACTGGTGCTAAAAGGATTTGTAATCTCTGCCACAGCAGGTCCTTTCCTGAGGCTCAACTCCAAATCCCACCCCACCTCCAGCAACCGGGCTTTGTGGAGACTGAAGCTTATGAAAATTGAGGGGCCCTTCTTAAGAAAATGATTACAAAATTACAACACAACATTAAATATAAGGTTTTGTAAGGACACCAGACAAGTGAGGGCCCTGAAACTTAATCATCCTTAGCTTCAAGAAAATCATTTTTTGTCCCAACACAAAAGAGAGAGTGTGGAGTCATGATAGAGAGAGGGAGTGGTGATATTCATCAATATGTTTGGGATACAAAAGTATAAATTTAATAGATTTGATTGTAAAGCAAAATTTTCATATTTCAATAGCATTCTGAATTAGGAAAGTACCTTTTTATGTAATTTTAACTCCTTTAGCAAGTAAGGTCCTGCTTGATCGTCTCCATTTTCTTAGAAAAATACCCAGCTGAGGAACAAACAGCTATACCAGTACACGAAAGAGATGGCTGCGGAAGTGCAATTCTTCCCAGTTTCACTTCACTTCACTCCTGCTTGCTTTCTTCCAGTACTTTTTGAGATTTAAACTCAGAATGAGAAACTAAAGCAGACATAAGCTCTCTGCAGGTCTCACTGAGTGCTCAAAGCTTCAGAGAAGCAGCCCAGTCATGCTGGCGGCTTGGACTCCATTTGCCCACTTCAGAACAAGTGCCAACTCTTCCAGTTTCTCTCCCTTTTCTTTACTTACTTGCAAAATTTTCCTTCACTGTCTTCCCCTTTGATTCCAGCTTACTTCCAAACCCAAGATTTTTTTTTTTTTTTTGTAGGAAGTAGTTGACTAGTGTCTAAGGACTGGAGCCAGAGTAAAGCAGGAAAGAATAGACCAGACAGTGGAAAAGTAAAAGTGGCTGCTAGACCTGGGTTGAAGCCAGATCTGAAAAAGCAAGAGAGTTAAAAGGTCTGAAATAAAGGGCCCCAGTGATCCTGCTGACAGAAGTGGTCATGGTTACCACCAGGAAAGAAGATGAAGGGGTTCTCATGCCTGTTTTCCATTGAGTTAAGCAAACACTTTCAAAAGTCAAAGAGAAGCTTGGAGTAAAGACAAGAATGCAGGCTGATGGTAGGATAATT